AATAAACATACACGGCTGTGCTTAAAAATATTCTGCATTCCCTTCTAATCTGTTAGTATAATAAAATATTTTGTTACAAAGTCTAATGTGCAAACTCATTAGAATCCTAGAGTGTGAAATCACAACTGGAATTCACAGTATGTTAATTTTGTATAAAGGTGATAATGGAGAGCTACCTTTTCTTTTCATGGTTCGATGCAGCATTTCATTACTGCTGAAATTCCCCTCACCCCCCCCCCCCAGCCCCCAGTCTCCCCCATGTTGTTGTTATGTGAAATTATCTCCCATGGAACTGCTTCCTCAATTGTCAGTGTAAAGCCATGATTTCAGTTTTTTTAAATATATACAGAAAAAATGATCTATTGGCTACGCTTCCTTGAGGTCAGCCATGGAACTGCTCAGATCATGTTAAGTTGCCTGTGAAAAAGAAGTCTACAAAATTGGATTCACCCCTCCAAGGTGTACTGCGTAGGCATATCTTGTTATTTTAAATGGTTCACTTGAAAGCTCAGATTTAAGTTGTCCTTTAATATGTCAGTGTAACACTACTAGTGCCTTACAAGTTGGAACTTTTTGCTGGAATGCAGACGATACAATAGTTACCCTATAATATATTATCAGCTCTCCTATATCTCAGTCAATTTACATAATTTAAAATAGAACATCTTATTAAAAACATCTAGATATACACAGATTAGGAAACGTTTACAACATACAAATACACAAACTAGAAATAAATTCTCAGCATACTGGTATATACACCTGTGTGATACAATAAATAATTTCTGTCATGCTCTATCTACACATCATATTGCTTAAAAGAAGAGTAGATCTGGGGGGCAGAGGTGAAATGAAAGGCCTTTAGAGGGCTCTCTACATTAAAAGTTGTGCAAATCAAAACAGGATTTTAAGTACCACTCATCTGTGTTAGGACGCATGGCTGGAAATGAAAGGACCCATATTACTGAGGTATTTACAGATACTGGCTAAAGAGCACTATGTGGGCAAATGCAGAAAGGCTTCTTTTTCATCTTTTGTTTTTTGTTTACTTCTTGACTGCAAGCATGGCGTCTACCTCTTCCTCAACCTGTAAGGTGTGCCACTGTGCAATGGGTCGCCTTGGGTTGGCCAGCATGTCTGACCAGTGTCGTAGCTCTGCACCAGTGCTGTTGTAGCCCACAAAGACTTTCCCGATAGCATCATTCTTGCCAATCTTGTCATAGTCCAAAACAGTCACAACAACTTGCACTTTCTAAAAGGAGATAACAAAGAGCAATGAGCAAGACCTGCAGGTAAACAGAGTACAGAACTGGAATTCAGAGTTTGTGGGTGAGAAGGGGGAGGGTGGATAGCACAACAAGTAGTAGCAGATTTCGAATGATATGAGAATTCAAAGTCTGAAATAACAGGTTACAAACTCCTATGAATGAAATCAAGATCAAAACAGCCATGTCAATTGATTGGTATGCTCATTATATGGAAGAGATCCTTTGTTATGGCGAAGGAATGCACAGTGCAGCTCAAGAGGTGTCATGCACTAGATGTTCCTTGTGCTCCCCATATCTTGGACACACAGCCAGTGTGTAGGGTGGGTCTTCCACCCTGCCACACCAAAAGGGCTGCACCCTCCCATCTGGGTCTACACTAATTTAAAGCAACATAAGATGATGTAGCTCCTGTTTCTACATGTTTGAAGATATGGACTTTGGAAAGATTCTAAAAGAAAGCAGTGGTTGGCTGAAAGGACCCATGTGAGTAGGGATCAGGTGTGTGTGAAGTAAAATATGATAGCCAGGTATGGGCATACCTTTTGTTATTTATTTTTTTTTTTTGGCCCACTATGAGATAGATCTTCAAAACCACATGCAAATTTTTTATTATCTTAATTAGCTCCGACAGGAAACAGGACTGCAAAAGTACAACCCTCCAGAGAAGGAACCCACGCACAGAGACAAAACACAGCTGTTTATTCTCTCCTTTTTATTTGGGCTTCTGATGTGAAATCCCAACAAACAGAATTACATAGGAGTCAGAGTGCTACTGTTTTTTGCCGGCAGCAACAGAGCATGTGAAGTGACTACTGTGCACTTTATCTACCTATGGAATGGGCTTTCGCACCCGCCTTGGAAGTCAATAATAATGCTACTTAGCTCTTATATAGTACACTTCATCAGTAAACTTTAAAGTGCATTACAAAGGAAGTAAGCATCATTATCCTCATTTTACAGATGGGCAAGTCATTTACTCCTCTCTGTGCCCCAGTTTCTCCAAGGTTGGTCAGTGGCTGAGCCGGGAACAGAAGCCAGGTCACCAAAGCAGGACAACAAACAGCATGTTCCAAGAAAGCTACTGTAGCTGGGTCCTGAGCCAAAGCCCCTCCCACAGCTTTCCTCTAATCAAATTTCTTATTCAAATGGGCTCTGAAGCAATATTTTTTTTTAAAAAAAGCGGAACTTGTGGTTTTTGTGGAAAGATGATTAGACTGGCATAGGCTTGTAGGGCTAACTTGAGCTGTGAGTCTAAAGAGGTATTGACTTCTGAGTTTGTGGGTGTAACTTATATCCTCCCCACTGTGTAAGTTACACCCACAAACTCAGAAGATCAGATTCAGAAGTGTAATTTACAACTTCTTAGACTCGCCTATTTGTTCGTTGCATTTCGTGTTCCAGGCCTCTTTCCTAGCCCTCCAGCATGTTAGTTACAGCAATGTAGACTCGGGAGACCAAATTCAGAGTTGTTACATAAGGGTGTAAATTACATTTAGGCGCATGAGAGTCTAAGGCAAGTCAGGCTAATGTAATCTACATGCTGAGGAGGTTGGAAGGAGATTGGATATTATACCGTCTTATGTATTGCCTGCCATATGGCCCAGTCTAAGTGAATCTCAGGTGTCTGTGTTGTGCATTAGTAAGTGCATGTGTGCTCATTTGGTCCTCACTATATGTCTGAATAGCACAAACATAACTTATTCCCCTAGTGAAACTGGGTTTTCCTCAATAGCATCTGAGATGAAACAGCCTCAGGCTGATTTGACTTAACTGTACACACTTTCCCTTCGAGACTTTCATTTTAAAGGATGAATCTATGACAGTTTTCCTGACTCTGCTTCATGCTATTATAAATGTACACAGCTCCAGGATTCATGACAGACTGGGATTTGTTTCTCCAGGTAGGTTTTATGAATTGCGGGAAAACGTAATTTACACAGAAAAATATTTTTGGTGCCAAGGGGTCAGTCACCCTTTTATTCTAAAAAGGCCAGATCCTGCAGTCCTTACTTGCAGTAGGAGTTCCACTACTATTAATGGGATTACTCCTGTGAGTAAAGGCTACAAGGGCTGAGTCATAATCACTCTTTGTAGCCCCTTCCCATGACAGCGTGCACAAATCAATGAGCCAAAGGAGGATATGACAGCTCCAGGCATGTAAGTATTTACATAAGCATTTATGACAGAAGTGCACAGTCTCTAAGGTGCCACAAGTACTCCTTTTCTTTTTACATCAAACTCAGACTCTCTTCCTTAAGACCATTCATGATAAAATGCAATATCTTTCATGCTTCTATTTCTAGAAGCCAGAATGATGTCTTACAACATAATGTTGCTTGCAGTGTATTTGCTTTTATTGTCAATGATAGCCCCAAATGGACATTTATGTATTAGATGCAGGGTACGATCATTGCCCTAGAGTGTATTGGCTTTATCTTAGTGTAAGACTGTTTAAAGTTCTTATTATGGTAAAAAATAAAATGCCTGATGTTACCGGGAACCATTAGCCTAATGACTAGCAGAATGTTTTTTTTTTATTGTCATACCCGCCAAGGATGGATACAGTACAAACAGTGATGTGGCCTTGAGGGGGTGGGAATGGAGGGCTCAGAGGACTGATCATGAAATGAGTTTCATCTTCTGGTCACTGGTTCAAATCTGCACGGCTTAATTAGTGACTGAAAATCATTGCCATCTGGTCGCTGATTGGTGGCCTATTTGAAATGTAGGTTTCAGTGCAAATGTCTGTGGATATTGCTATAAAAGACCACTAACAGCAATAAGCACCTGTATAAGCAACCTCAGCAGAGTGACCAGAGGTTGAAAGGGCATGGAGACTGAACTATTCTTTCACACTCAGAGGTTAATAGGCAGCTACCCCATTCTGCTCTGCCAGTGTTCAGCTATTTTGTGCTTGTCCTGTGTAGGATTTCACACTCCAGTGGGGTCCACTCAGCACCTTTTAAGATAGCAGTTCACTAAAGTCTTGTTTTTAAAACTCAGTGCTCCAGGATCACCTCTCTCTTTTGCACAGTTCTGTGCGCATGCATACTGGCAGACTGTTCACAAATACACAAATCTGAACTTATGATAGGTTGTTGAAAGATGTTATTCTTATCCTGTTTTACGTTCCACATTGCTGCTGCTAATGAGCTGTTTCTACTAGTTTTGACAACTCTGCTTTGCCTCTATGATCCCTCTCTTCTCTTTGCTCTTAATGATCATGGACCTGGTATAACCATTATTCCATTACCTGACATGTTAGTGGAAGTTTATCAAAATGAATGTTATACGTGAAGTACACAAAGGTCACAGAAACATTTACAGTATTCATTTAAATAATGTTTAAATATGTTTTTCTATAAATGAGCCTAATTAAATAATGAATATGATATAGGGAAAATGGCCGAAACTCATTTAACTCCTATCTCTAGAATTTTTGTCAGTGTATTTCTTCTCTTATCACTATCTTCCTGTTTGGTTTTTCTTTTGGGTATCCATTGCTTCTGACCATAAAATGCCAGTTATCCATTTTTCACTGATGAATCAACCCTTCATAAGTTCCGTACATGTTATCATTTCCCTCTTGAAGCAGTCACACTTATCTAACGTAGAGCGGGGTTGGCACATAGGTGCTAATGAAGGCATGCACACTTCAGAATTAACAAGGTCCCTGTTAAATATTTATGAAGGCTGAGAAATGGAATTCAGAGGAAGGGGAAAGCAGGGTTTGACATTACCTGGATTTGCTCGAAGGGTACCTCAAAGCTGAACGATTCATTGTAGTAGGGGTTCAGAGTGTTCTTTTTAATTGTTGTCTTTTTCTTCTTCAGTCTCTTACCATTCTGCATCAGATGGATTTTCACATAGGGATCTGAATAATTACAATGAAAAAGCATAGTTAAGAAATGGTAATCAAGTTAATGTGTATTGTAGGGGTAGTCAACAGGTGGACTGCGGGCCAAATCCAGACTGCCAGATGCTTTTGAATGGACCCTGAAATCTTTTTATTTACTTATCATTATTTATTTATTTTCTCTGGCGTCTGGACCTTGATTATTCCGTGATCAAGAAATTTGGACCTTGACAAAAAATAATTGACTACCCCGTATAGAGAGTAATCCCTGAAATGACTATTAGGTGAAAAATTAAACATGTTCATAGCAAATAATGGTCATTTTAACAAAGTCTGTATTTACATCAGATGAAATCTGATCAAGTGCTATCTCTGGCATTTGAATACAAACTGTACTAAATAAGGTACATACCAGTTCTTGTTATATTCACTTACGCAAAAGTCCAAGGAGGAGGTAAATCCCAGCCTCACTCTGCTCTGTGGTATATTACTCCTCTCTCTCACAGCAGCATAATCTCTTTAGTCCAAGGACTGTTACATGTTTGTACAGGGTCTAGCACAATAGGACCCCTTTCACTGAAATTGGCATCTAGCACTACTAGAACACAGAGAATAATGATCTGGGAAGACAGTCCCAGCCACTCTAACTCTGCATAGTAGTTCTATCTCAATCTCCCCGCATGTGCTGGTCTTCTTGCTCCCCTGAACTCCCATGTGCACTGGGTTTGATTGTCTGTGGAAGCAGCTAGATTACATAGTGGTAAGGGACTACTGCCCTCTTTACAGACACAGACATATATAACTAAGCATTGTTACTCTCTGCTGAATTCTCATTGTTCATGAGTTTGTATGAGTACTGTACGAACAGATTTATCACCTAATCACAGACTCCTTGCACAAGCTCAACTCCCAGGGAAGTGACTGCTTTGAAAGGATATCTTGGTGCCTAGAATGTCAAAGGGAATTGTGCCTGCTTAGGACATGTGCAACTGAGCGCTTAGTAGATCCTTTTCCTCATTCAGAGAATGGACTTACTGGACCCAGTTCTCCTCTCGTGCCAGTGTAAATCAGGAGTAACTTCACTAAGTCACATGTTTTACACCCATGCACAATTAAAGCACTGAGTGGTAGAGAGAATCAGGCTCACTGTAATGTCCTGTACGTTACTGCAGCCATGACTTGACTAACAACCTTTGTGGCTTTAGATAGCAATTCTGCAATGTAAGCCACAAGGAAGCCTCTCCTAGGGCAAAGTAACAGGATCTGTGCCAAATGCCTGCTAGTTGGAAGTCGCTCTTGGCATATCTTGCATGAAGGTTCTTATTAAATTATTTCTATCAAAGAGAGCATCGCTCCCTTCTATGAAAGCAGGGAGAGGGAGGGAAACCAGTGAACACTTTGTTGTTAAATTTCCTTGTCTTTACTATGAGTACACAATCTTTCAGGACTGTCCAATGGAATTGGTGCCTGAAGAATCTGGGAATAATTGCATCCTCCTACAATAAGGAAGTATTGTGTGAAAAGCTTTAAAACTCTCCTGGCTGTTTCTCAGTAGAAGAGTTATTGCCCCTGCAGCCTCAACACTGGGTTTAGCACCTGTGCTTTTAGGGATTTGATGGTGTAAAGCAGATGGTTCTCTGCTCTCTGAAAGAAGTGGTCTAGATTGTCGGTTTTGCTAAGTGTAAAGTGTAAAGCTGGTTTGAAATAAAAGACCATTTCAGCATCCGTACTGGTTGGAAAACAGTGGTAAAGAAGTTTAGGGTGTGTGAAGAAAATCACAGAAGCAAAGGACTAGTTTCATAGAGACTTAGGAGCCTAAATGCCACTAACTGCTGGCCTATAGAGTCACTTTTTCTCACTCTCTCTCTCTCTGGCCCAATACATACTTAATTATTTGCATGTAGTGGCTTGGTTTGAAAAAGAAAGATTGAGAGAGACCTCACCCCA